CTCATGGCAGATCTCTAGTGCTATTATGTCAACTTCTTGTGGATTGGCAGTCACTATTTCGTTCACCTTTAGGTGTTCTTTTACCAGCACAGCAACGCCACCGCCTTTCCTAATTTTTCTGTCCCGTCTCCAAATTGAGTAGCCCCTTGGGAATATGACCTCATTTAAAATTCATCTTCAAGTTTTGTCTTCGTGAGTGCAACAATGTCTGGTGTCTGCAGCTGTATTATATCACTTAACTCCAGCATCTTTGATCTCACTCCATCTATGTTGGTGTATGCAATCTTCAGGAACTTGTTCCCCCTCTCCTTATTCTTCACTCCCCCTCTCTCTATTGATTTTGTTGGCTTGCCTTTATGTACCACTTTACTGGTTTGCCTACCCCTATCACTTTGTAGAAAAAAGAATTTATTTCTTCTTCATTCCTGCTCTCATTTAAATGTTTTGCCTCGGCGAGGTTCAGTTTCAGCTTCTCTCTATCTTCTTTTGAAAGATCTCGTCTTAACGACCACCCTTTCCCATCCTCATCACTTTGCAATTTTCTAGCATTCCTTAGTACTTCTTCCATCTGTTTGGCACCGTTTAGGGTGATCCTCAAAGGTCGATCTTTCCCTTTTACGTACCTGCCTATTCTCCTGTAGTCGCACACATTCTCTATGGTTGTAAGACCTTCTACGAGGCCAACAATTTTATCTACTACTTTAGCTTCTTCTACAGCTCTTTCTGACCTAGATGTTATCGCCTTTTCTTTGCAGCCAAGAATGATCAGGGACTTACTCCGATCAACTGTGTTTTGCACCAACTTCGGGTTAGATGCCAATTCTTTCCTCACTTCTAGCCTAATGTTTGTTTTATCTTGGTTGCTGCAGTGTTTGACTTCCTTTACTGCTTCTTCTATTTTTTCCTTCTTCTTGGCCACTTGTGCATAAGTGAGTTGCATATCTTTCTTGCACTGTTTTATTCCCTGTGTAACTTCCTCCATCTGTGCTGACAAAAGCTGTTTCTCCTGTTGAAATGTAGTCATTTATGTTTAAATTTACTTTAACTTCTTCCAAAGCTATTTTTAAGAGTTTATTTTCTTCTTCCATGGCTTTGTAATTTGTTTCCAATTGATTCTTATCCTTGCGCAAGTCTTTCACTAAACCTTCAAGACATAAAACTCTGCTATTCAAATGGTCATTACTTTCTTTCAATTTACTAATTATTTCTACATGAGAGTTCACTATAGTATCTAAATTTACCAACTTGTTATGTAGACTGCTAATATCAATGCTTTCTTCATTGAATCCCTCAAAGTCAAGCTCTGTTTTGTTTTCCCCTTGCCAGTGGCCATCTTGAATGTTCTTCTCTGCACTGTAAACACTAGGGTAACTTTTTCTCATCCGATTTTTCACTTCCCTTAGCACTTTCCTGTTATCTCACCTATTTTTCAAGAGCACTATACCTTTATGTTCTCTGGGACACCACTCACTACCATCAACCTGTACTACAATACTTAGATTTGTTGAAATATGCTGGAGCTCCTCTGCTGCAAGTGTTGACCCTAGGGGTGTCACCTAGGGGTGTGTGTGTGTGTGGTAGCCACTCTTGTTTTGCTCACCATACTAGCTTAGTGATTCGCTATGGGCAACACATATGTACATGTGTATATACAGTGTGTATATAGTGTAATAACAGCAACAGGAGAATGTTGAGAGGAGCTATTTTGGTGAGGGAGGTTACGTAGTAATCGTAGCATCGTCTGCTGTGTGATTTTTCATGCAGTGTATGGTGACAACTGTACTGTTTGGACACAATACCGGCTTACTTGCATAGTTCTGGTAAATAAAACATGTAGATAGGTATATATAACATGTGTAATTAGTGTAATAAGAACAATAACAGAATGGTGGGAGGAGCAATGTTGGCGAGTAAGTTGTTGGAGTGAGGGAGGGCTGGCTGGGTGTGGCTGCTCTCACTCGAGGTGTTCTGAGTGTGTTGATGGTGAATGTATGTAGTATGTGACAGTGTATAGTGTGTAAATAGATTGTATATATACATAAATTAGCATGATACATAGTAAATATGTGCAGCATATGTGTACACAAGTGTCATGCACATAACACAGTGTCTTCGGACAGTACGGATATTTTACTGCCATAATATAGTGTACGTGTTCATTATACATAGGATTAGCACGTAAAAACAAATAAAGTGTATTTGGAACTTTGCGCAAAAATGAACAAAAATATATTCGCGGCAACTCGCGCGCCCCGCCCCAGGCGCCCTACTGGCCCCAGGAGCGTAGGTCACGGGTGAATGGGGAATGATGGCGTCACGTGCTAACTTGCGGACCCCATAGCAGCCAAAGTAAGTACAATTTCAATTTTTTTTTTTTTACAAACCCATACTAAGGGAAGGGTTTTTGACACTTTAACCCTTAACATGCTCGGGGTTTAATATCCTGTCATCCCCACAGGCGCATGTCATTTTGAAAAAAAAAAAAATTATTTTTTCTTCCTAACCTGTTAATTTGTGTTCACTGATCACGGGAAAAATAATAAAAAAATCGTAAGTGGCATATATTGCCCGCTATAGGGCGGGGAAGTCTGGCAAATTATAGGCGCTGACTCAGCATGTGTCCCAGGCGATCTGTCAGGCCGGAGTTACCACAAAGAGATAATTACCTAATTATTTCAATGTCTCTGATTGATTTTTCATAGTTTTTTTGCTGTAATATCATTCAATAGTGTGTAGTTTGATATATTTATATAATAAAATGATTGAATCATTGCTGTACTCAAAAATATGGTGTGCATATTGTTGATTCAATTATGTTCATCAATCAGTGAACAAATACTTTGTCGGTTATTACACTATAAGCACAGGTTATATATAAGTATCTGCATGTTTTGTTCACTATAACGAACCACTAAGTAGCTATTATGAGTCAAAAAGTAATGAGGAGTGACCGCCGTGTACCAGCCAGCCACTCCCGCCCTCCCTCCAGTCATCTGACTCACCCACATTCTCCTCCCACAATACTGTTTTTTCTATAATTCACTACTGTATATACAGACATTATATATAAGTATCTACATGTTTTGTTCACCATAAATATACATCTAAGCTTGTATGGTGAGTAAAGGCACAAAGACGTAGGACCTCACACAGTCAGCTGATGGCTGCTGCCCTCAAAGCCAGACGCACTAATATTTCTCCTCCAGCAATACTGTGTGGTGTTATTACGCTATATATCTTATATACAGACGTTATATATAAGTATTTACATGCTTTGTTCACCATAACTGTACATCTAAGCTTGTATGGTGAGTAAAGGCACAAAGACGTAGGACCTCACACAGTCAGCTGATGGCTGCCGCCCTCAAGGCCAGACGCACTAATATTTCTCCTCCAACAATACTGTGTGGTGTTATTACGCTATGTACACACATTATATATAAATATCTACCTGTTTTATTCACCATACTTGTACAAATAAACTGGTATGGTGCCTAAAGACCATCGTGGTAACCAGTAAACAACATCGTCATCTGCACGGTGGCGTCGTGCAAATGACGCTACCGCCCTCACCCAAATGGCGGCTCCAAACCTTCTCTTGCTGTTTATACCTTCTATACACACGTTATATATAAGTATCTACATTTGTGTTTACCATAGCGAACCACTAAGCTGGTATGCTGAGTGCAGTCAATAAAAGGTGGCCACACACAGTCAGAAGACATCGCCACCATCCTCCCTCCCACAGCATTACTCCTCCCTCCATGGCACACAGCACTAAACATCACCACAATCCTGCTATTATCAGAACCCTGGTCAGTTTTATCACAGGGGTCTTCTGTAATAATATCATCGCTACATAATAGCATGAACAAGTATATTTTGGCATTTTTAGGCGATGCTGTTGTCACAAGCTGAACAGCAGTGCTGTTAGCTCATGCTGCGTGCGTCAGGCTTGGTTGCTCACTCAATACTGAGGCCAATAACACCCGGGAGTTTGGCCCACGATTTTTTTTTAAAATGGCGTCTGTTTACAAGAGCCCTGATGAAGGTGTGGTGAACCCCGTGTATCCGCGGGCCGTTTAAATCTTGCGTAGTACTCCAACACATCATATGACGTGATGCGCAGTTGACTGGAACAACGTCCAACCTGTCATATTACGTGATGCGCACTTTAAGGGTTAAAAAAATCAAAAGAATTTTTTACAGAGAATTTATTTCCTGCGCACTGTGGTGGTGTCATATTTGGAGGCAGCGCAGTTAAGGGATTAATCGACTGAGCTACAACAGGGTAAAAGAGAAAGAGTTGAAACCGAAGTTCTACTGAACTTACTGGATCCCGTAGCCTCTCCGAGGCACAAACCAGGGTTTTACACAACTCCCCCCTGCACCCGAGCTATGTCAATAGGCCGTTGTCCCTCTTCACCCTTACATCATTACACACAGAGATCACACTAACGTGATGCATCAAATGAACAAATCCACAAGGGCCGTGACGAGGATTCGAAGCTGCGTCCAGGAGCATCCCAGACACTGCCTTAATCGACTGAGCTACGACAGGGTAAAAGTTTGAATCCTCGTCATGGCCCTTGTGGATTTGTTCATTTGAGGCATCACGTTAGCGTGATCTCTGTGTGTAATGATGTAAGGGCGATGAGGGAGAACGGCCTATTGACATAGCTCGGGTGAAGGGGGGGAGTTGTGTAAAACCCTGGTTTGTGCCTCGGAGAGGCTACGGGATCCAGTAAGTTCAGTAGAACTTCGGTTTCAACTCTTTTTACCCTGTCGTAGCTCAGTCGATTAATGCATCGTCTGGGATGCTCCCGGACGCAGGTTCGAATCCTCGTCACGGCCCTTGTGGATTTGTTCCTTTCAAACTTAAGTTCACACAAGTAGGAGTGCTAAGATTTTCACATGTACAACAATAATAATAGAAAAGTTATGGGTATTTTTTTCATATTTTTGTTTTAATTTGTTGTAAATCACTTGGAATTTTTCAGGCTTGGCAGCTGAGATTTGGCCATCTAGTGGGCTATGGAGCAAAATACTATGCATATCTTGTTTCCCGAGCTGTGGCATCTTGGATATGGCAGAAGTATTTTTCAGAAGATCCCTTCAGCAGGTGCTGTAATTCATACCTTTTATATTGTATATGCAAACCTCAGCAAATTATTACTAGGCTTCACATGTGATGCAAATAAAGCTCTTGCTCTTTTCAATGAACAAGATATTTACATGCTGGGATGGTGTGAATGCTACCCATTATGATTGTAGGAGAATGGATACTAAATTTAACAAAGTTTTAAAACGTCAAACAACAAAAATTAATACTGTAATCTAATGTATATATACATGTATGTTACATGCATTTGCATAGATTTACACGTCAGTGATGAACAGTTTAGATTCCTCTGCCTGCATCCCCAGTGCATCTCACAAGGAGCCACAAAGTACTGTACACAAATGTAAATGGAATCATTAATAAAGTAGACAAGCAGAGAAGACATGTTAAAAAGTACACCCCAGACATAATAGCAGTCACCGAAACAAAAACATCGATTATCTGGTGCATTACATCTGGGGTTTAATGGGATTGGCTAGAGAAGAAGGGGAAGGAAAATCATCTTGATCTTGAACAATGTTGGATTGACCTACCAACTCACTGGGATTTCTTTACATAGGAGTTAGATTGACCTACTTTTAAGTATTTGAGTTTGTATTTTCTGGTCAACACAATCTGCCGAAGACTAAATGCAAGAGTATTATGCACAAAACAAATGGACAGACCCAGGAAAGGAAACTGGAGTACAGTGGAACCTCGAGTGACGAGCGGCTCCAGTTATGAGCATTTCGAGTAACGAGCAAGCCACTCGCAGAACATTTGTCTTGACTGATGAGCTTTTGCTCGATTAACGAGCGTTCCAGCTGGTTCTCGGACACCGAGGACAGTTTTGTTTTTGTTTCACAAGACGAGCTCGGTGCCGGAACGGATTAAACTTGTTAATCGAGGCGCCACTGTACCTGTATAAGTAAAGTGTAAAATAGATACCTAAAATAAATATAGACCTACAGGCAATATAGATATTAATATACTACACCATGGAGAGGTGCACTTACATTCAACTCTAACATTTTACTCTATCACTCAACAGAAAGATGGGTGAAAAATACCGCAAAGAAGTGCTTGCTCACGGAGGAGGGAAGCCGCCACGTGCCATGGTGGGAGAGTTTCTGGGTCGAGAAGTGACAGCTGAAAGCATGGTTGATGCTCTTATGATGGACTTGGATCAAAAGAAATCAAAAGTAGAATCTAATAGATTTTCATAATGATGACTTTTACATACTATATCAGAAAATTTTAATTAAGATTTTTAAACATTGTCATCCTTAATAGCAAACTGTCAGTTTAGATTTTGTAGAGTTCAGTATCTGTCAGTATCATTGTTATAAGCAGAATGCCTTCACAGAGCAAGGTGTGTGATGGCATGCACTTATGTTCATCTCATGTCTTGTAGTTTATGCACCTTTTCAGTGACGAATCAGTGTTGCCACCATGCACCTACACACACTTCTCAGAGGGCAAATTGACTTGTCAAATATTTTTAATTTTCTTTACATTGTAATGTAACATTTATTTTTAAATTCCTTAACCCCTTCAAACTTTATTTGACTCGTGTCACCGTGTACAAACCATTGTTCTTTAAGAAGAATATATTTTTTAATTTCTATGTATATACTTATATGCATAAATCCTGTACTAGAAATTTCCAAGACCTGTTGCTGCGACGTAAAGGTGTAGTGCAGTAAATAGGTAGTGGGGAGTTAATTGTTGTGAGTTGCATCCTGGGGATCCTGAGGAAGGTCAGTAGCTGATCTAGGGGGACATAACTAATCCATAGACTTGTTCTTGACAAAAATACTATATTTTAAACATTTTACAATAAACCCAAATGGTCCCGAGGATAATATTAAGATATCACTGTACTACTGAAGGAATTTGCCTACAATATTTTCATTATTTTCAAACAAATTACTATTTACAGAAAAATAATGTAAATACAGTACATTAAAAAAATACAAACAATAATGAAGATGACTTCTTCATAATTTGAGGGTCTCGGTAGTACAGTTGGGTTTGTTCTCGACTCTCAGTTGAGGATTCCAGGAGGGACAGAAATGGTTGGGCGCATTTCCTATCGCCTAATGGCCTGTTCACCTAGCAGTAAGTAGGTACCCAGGAGTGAGTCAGCTTGTTATGGGGTTGCATCCCGGGGAATTCAGTAACTTGACCTTGGGGATGGGGGGAGGGGGTTGACTGTATATTGCAAGGGAAGAAAAACTTCTAGTCCAACAAGCATTCCCAAGGATGTGTTGGGATTCCCATAATGTGTGTGGGAGCACACAGCTCCACATTGACTGGATGTAAAATGCATACTAAGAAAAATATTATCAATGTTCCAGTGGGAAAAAAATTCGGTATACCATTACAAATCCTTGAAACAGATGTCTCTTCTTGATCTGATGATCTGACAATATGATCTTAGTAACCCTATACCATGACACAAGTGTACCTAAAGCATAGACTATCAAAAATACAATCAGTAAGCATAGGTGCTAAGGAGGTTTTATTTCCTCAATTTGTATTGCATTTCTAATAAGAAAAGAAATGATCTTTCCATAAACATGAAAATAATCCAAAACATAAAAATGTTTTGGATTGCAACCCCAAAGTAACTCGATACCAGGTCACAAGTACTGTACTTTCAAAACGTAGAATATCATAAATACAACCTACTGTATAAGCATACATTACTTGAGAAAAAAAATCATGTATTTCAGTCATAAAAAAAAAAGACTTGCTCCATTTTCTCTCCCTGTATTGATTTTTTTCTCATTTTTATTTTAAGATTTCTAGTAAGAAAAATGAGATGTTCTTCTCACTTATCATTTAAAGCACTCATAAGAGTGACCAGGAATATAAAAAGTAGAAAACATTTTTACACAAATTGACAAAAACCTATTACTGAGCTTGTAATATGGTATACAATATACACAGTACTGTACAGTGCTTGTACATGTGTCATAATGTACAAACCATAAGGTATTACATCATGCTTAAACAAAATCATATACTGTATATGTGCAAATGTGATGGAGGACACTGGTGGCATCACTTGGCATGATATTTCTTTCAGTCGTAGACATATGGTGGCACCAAATATACTGAATTGGGTCCAAGCAGCAGTTTTAAAGGCTAAAGGACGTGGTTGAAAATTTTTGCAGAGAATGACCAGTAACATTTTGTTGTCTAGAGCTGTCATAGCTCAAGGGTTTCAATAAAGGCTATGTCAGTTCATGTCAAGCATTCAATAAAGGCTATGTCATAGTTCATGCCAAGCAAAGTATTTGCTAGATGAATTGTTCTGGGTCAGAGATTCTGCACATTAATTAGTCAGTTTGGAAAGTCTACCTAAAACTGGAGTCTCTGAAGTTGCAATGTACTGTATATAGATGCCATATTTATTCAGTAAAGATACTATAAGAGGTATAGTTTTCATTCATTGTGTTGTATATAATGTAATAAATAATTTACGTTAAACGTTTAATTTTATTAGCTTAGGGCTCCGGTTTAATAAAACTAAATGGACATTGAGCAAAGTTATTATTTTCTGAATATTATCATTGGTGTAGAAAATGTAAATTTTCTTTCAGGGCCAAATCAGTGCATCTGCATGACTTCTTTATAACCCTTGTTTCTAGTAATTGGTGTTTCACTATTAGCAACCCCCCATCATTCATGAATAAAGTGAATAATTATGCTGCCTTAATGCAGTGTTCCAACATTACTCCATGATATATTTGTTGCTGTTTTCACCAATACACAACTGTTATGACAGTTCCCAATATACATATGTAATGTATTGTATTTTGTTTATAATAAATGTATAGAAGCTTGTATGCCCATGTTCTGTCAGTCTCACTTCTTGAACCATAACCCCCTCCTCATTTTGTTTTTCTGAGAGAGGGGAGGGGGTAGCCATATCTTCCCCTTCTACATTATACAGTATTCAGTTAGGGTTTCACACATTTCCTATTCATTCTCCGTTAATCTGCTCCCCATTTTCAACTAATGAATTTATCGTTTATCTAAAATTTGCTTTTAATGAATTTATAAAATAGGCTTGGTTCCATTTTACATATCTTTTTTTTTTTCAAAATTTCTTTCTGCCTTTCTTCTCACTGCTGTGTAGTTGTTTCTTGCTTCTTTGTATTGCTGGTATGTTTGAAGGTTTGGCCTCTTCCTATATAGATTACAGTTTTTATTTTTTGGGTCTCTAGTCCCCCTCAATTTCTGTTGAACCAGCCTCTTTTTCTTTTTTTTTTGTATAAATTTTGTTATCCTTCATCATACATTTCAATGTCTTTTTTCTAGGTTCCCCATAATGTCCTTTCTTGAAATAAAGTTTTTAAACTGCTTCATTTTTCTCATTCTCTTCTAGATTATAATGCATTTCATATTTTATTTTCAAGAGGACATGGTCACTCTTACCCATTTGGGGATGGTACTATTAAATATCTCTTCTTTCCTGTTGAATATCAAATCTAACATTGAATAAACATCTCCATCCCTCATTCTTGTAGCTTACTTAATATGTTGATATAGAAATATCTCCAGAATGAGGTTTACATATCTACCAGCCGAAAAGTCCTGTTCTTGCTTCGTAGGCCTCCCAGTCTATGGATTTAAAGTTGCAGTCACCAAGTACCAACAACCATGATTTATCTTTATCTGCTCTTACACTCATGTCAAATAATAAGAACTGCCATCATAAAGCATACTTCAGGACTAACATATATAACAACAGTACAGTATATACACATATTCTGGAAAAAAGTGACACCCCTAGGGTCAACACTTGCAACAGAGGAGCTCCAGTATATTTCAACAATCCTAAGTATTGTAGTACAGGTTGATGATAGTGAGTGGTGTCCCAGAGAACAAAGGTATAGTGCTTTTGAAAAATAGGTGAGATAACAGGAATGTGCCAAGGGAAGTGAAAAATCAAATGAGAAAAAGTTGCCCCTAGTGTTTCCAGTGCAGAGAAGAACATTCAAGATGGCCGCCGGCATGAGGAAAAACAAAAGAGCTTGATTTTGCGGGATTCAATGAAAAAAGCATTGTTATTAGTAGTCTACATAACAAGTTGGTAAAATTAGATACTATAGTGAACTCATGTAGAAATAATTAGTAAATTGAAAGAAAGTAATGACCACTTGAACAGGAAAGTTTTATGTCTTGAGGATATAGTGAAAGACTTGTACAAAGGATAAAAATCAATTGGAAACAAATTGCAAAGCCATGGAAGAAGAAAATAAACTCTTAAAAATAGCTTTGGAAGAAGTTAAAGTAAATTTACACATAAATGACTACAATAGGTTAGGTAAGGAATTTCAACAGGAGAAACAGCTTTTGTCAGCACAGATGGCGGAAGTTACACAGAATAGAACAGTGCAAGAAAGATATGCAACTCACCTATGCACAAGTGGCCAAGGAGAAGGAAAAAATTGAAGAAGCAGTAAAGGAAGTCAAACACTGCAGCAACCAAGATAAAACAAACATTAGGCTGGAAGTGAGAAAGGAATTGGCATCTAACCTGAAGTTGGTGCAAAACACAGTTGATCGGAGCAAATCCCTGATAATTTTTGGTTGCAAAGAAAAGGAGATAACATCTAGGACAGAAAGAGCTGTAGAAGAAGCGAAAGAAGTAGATAAAATTGTTGGCCTCATAGAAGGTCTTACAACCATAGAGAATGTGTGCGACTACAGGAGAATAGGCAGATACGTAAAAGGGAAAGATCGACCTTTGAGGATCACCCTAAATGGTGCCAAACAGATGGAAGAAGTACTAAGGAATGCCAGAAAATTACAAAGTGATGAGGATGGGAAATTGTGGTCGTTAAGACGAGATCTTTCAAAAGAAGACAGAGAGAAGCTGAAACTGAACCTCGCCGAGGCAAAAAGTTTAAATGAGAGCAGGAATGAAGAAGAAATCAATACTTTTTTCTTCAAAGTGATAGGGGTAGGCAGACCAGTAAAGTGGTACATAAAGGCAAACCAACAAAATCAAGAGAGAGAGGGGGAGTGAAGAATAAGGAAAGGGGGAACAAATTCCTGAAGATTGCATACACCAACATAGATGGAGTGAGATCGAAGATACTGGAGTTAAGTGATGTAATACAGCTGCAGACACCAGACATTGTTGCACTCACGGAGACAAAACTTGAAGATGTTATTTTAAATGAGGTCATATTCCCAAGGGGCTACTCAATTTGGAGACGGGACAGAAAAATTAGGAAAGGCAGTGGCGTTGCTGTGCTGGTGAAAGAACACCTAAAGGTGAAAGAAATAATGACTGCCAATCCACAAGAAGTTGACATAATAGCATTAGAGATCTGCCATGATGATGATAAACTAATGATCATAAATGCATATAGTCCACCGCCAAGCAGCACATGGTCAAAGGAGGAGCCAGATAGTAAACGTGTAGGTCTTATAACAATAATGAGAGAGATTATAGCGAGAGCGGATAACGATAGATCACGTCTGTTGATAGTCTGTGACTTCAACTTGAAATCCATAGACTGGAAAGCATATGAAGCTAAAATAGAAGATTTTTGGACCTGTAGATTTGTAGACCTCATCCTGGAAACATTCTTGTATCAACATGTTAAACAAGCTACGAGGATGAGGGAAGGGGACGTTCCCTCCATGCTAGATTTGATATTTACCAGGAAGGAGGAAAAGATATTTGACATTCAGTACCTTCCTCCCTTGGGTAAAAGTGACCATGTCTTTTTGGGAATAAAGTATGCAATGCATTATAATCTGGAAGAAAATAAGGAGGTTGAAGCAGTTGAAAAATCTGACTTCAGGAGAGGACATTATGGCCACCTTAGAATTTTTTTTAGTGAGTATAATTGGACAGACTTGATGCTAGACAAGGAAGTGAATGAGATGTACATCAAGTTTTGTGAAATATATGATAGAGGCACAACAAAATTTATACCAAAACAGAGATGCAGAACTAGGAAACAGGATTGGTTCAATAGAAATTGCGAGAGGGCCAGAGACCAAGACACAAAAATGGAATCAATATAGGAAGAGGCCAAACCCCCAAACATACCAGCGATACAAAGATGCGAGAAACAACTATCAGGCAGTGAGGAGAGAGGCAGAAAGAAATTTTGAAAAAAGGATTGCAGATAAATGTAAAACAGAACCAGGTCTATTCTATAAATTCATAAACAACAAATTGTAGGTAAAGGATAATATTCAGAGGTTGAAAATGGGAAATAGATTCATGGATAATGAAAAAGAAATGTGTGAAACACTAAACGAAAAGTTCCAAAGTGTGTTTGTACAAAATGAAATCTTTATGGAACCAGACACAATAAGAATTCCAGGGAACAACATAGAGCACATAGAGGTGTCTAGAGATGAAGTGGAAAAAATGCTCAAGGAGCTAAGTAAGAAGAAAGCAGTTGGTCCAGATGGAGTTTCACCATGGGTTCTGAGAGAATGTGCACCTGAGCTCAGCATTCCACTTCAACTGATTTTTCAGGCATCCCTGTGTACAGGAGTTGTAGCTGATATGTGGAAAAAGGCTAACATAGTTTCCAATCTACAAAAGTGGAAACAGGGAAGACCCCCTTAATTATAGACCTGTATCATTGACAAGTGTAATAGTCAAAATATTGGAAAAATAATTAAAACTAAATGGGTAGAACTCCTGGAGGAAAACGATATAATATCAGACAGACAGTATGGTTTTCGATCTGGAAGATTCTGTGTAATGAACTTGCTCAGTTTTTATGATCGAGCCACAGAGATTTTACAGGAAAGAGATGGTTGGGTTGACTGCATCTATCTAGACCTAAAAAAGGCTTTCGACAGAGTTCCCCCATAAGAGGTTGTTCTGGAAACTGGAATATAATGGAGGAGTGACAGGTAAGCTACTAACATGGATGAAAAATTTCCTAACTGACAGAAAAATTAGGGCCATAATCAGAGGCAAGGTATCGGATTGGAGGAATGTTACGAGTGGAGTACCACAGGGGTTCAGTTCTTGCACCGGTAATGTTCATTGTCTACATAAACGATCTACCTGTGGGAATACAGAATTACATGAACATGTTTGCTGATGATGCTAAGATAATAGGGAAGATAAGAAACCTAGATGATTGTCATGCCCTTCAAGAAGACCTGGATAAAATAAGTATATGGAGCAACACTTGGCAAATGGAATTTAATGTGAATAAATGCCATGTTATGGAATGTGGAATTGGAGAACATAGACCCCACACAACCTATAAATTATGTGAGAAATCTTTAAAGAATTCTGACAAAGAAAGGGATCTAGGGGTGGTTCTAGATAGAAAACTGTCATCTGAGGACCACATTAAGAACATTGTGCGAGGAGCCTATGCTACACTTTCTAACCTCAGAATTGCTTTTAAATACATGGATGGAGAAATACTAAAGAAATTGTTCACGACTTTTATTAGACCAAAGCTGGAATATGCAGCGGTTGTATGGTGCCCATATCTTAAGAAGCACATCAACAAACTGGAAAAGGTGCAACGACATGCCACTAAATAGCTCCCAGAACTGAAGGACAAGAGCTACGAGGAGAGGTTAGAGGCATTAAATATGCAAAAACTAGAAGATAGAAGAAAAAGAGGCGATATGATCACTACGTTCA